ATATAAAATTATCTGAGACTTTTTCATCCAAATTTGGATTTATGGTTAGATCAAATGCAAAATCTAATCCATAAAAATGCACTAACTAATCCATAAAAACGCACAATTTTTCACAATTTTTCATAATTTTTCATTTTAAGATATGACTGTCAATGGTCTAATGCATTCTGGATATGATCACAAAAAAATCTACCGAATTATTTGATATGAGGGTTAAAATATTTTAATTCTTTTGATCTTCATTCAAAAATTTCAAAAAATAACAAATGATCATCATACTGGGAACGTCAAAGGTAATTAATTACCAAAACTTTTATAAAATAATACGAAAATGCCGAAATGGCATTTTTTTTCACAGATTAATATGAATAAATATGCAAAAATAGCATTTTTTTCATAAAACTGAATGCCATTTTGGCATTTTTTTTTTCTTGAAAAAATGTTTTTTTTTTTCATATGAAAATGCTGAAACGGTATTTTTTTCATAAATTAATATGAAAATGCCATTTCAGTATTTTTTTTCTTAGGTTAATATGAAAAAAATGTCGTTTCGGCAGTTTTTTCATAAATTGATATGAAAATGCCGAAACAGTATTTTTTTTCATAAGTCATATGAAAAAAATGCTGAAACGGCATTTTTTTTATATATTGATATGAAAATGCCGAAATGGCATTTTTTTTTCATAAGTTGATATTTAAAAAAAATGCTGAAACGGCATTTTTTCATAAAATAATATGAAAACGCCATTTCGGCATTTTTTTCTTAAGTTAATATGAAAAAATGTCGTTTCGGCGTTTTTTTTTTATAAATTGATATGAAAAATGCCGAAATGGCATTTTTTTCATAAGTTAATATCATATTAAAAAAAATGCTGAAATGGCATTTTTTTCATAAAATGATATGAAAATGCCATTTCGGCATTTTTTTCTTAAGTTAATATGAAAAAATGTCGTTTCGGCATTTTTTTTATAGATTGATATGAAAAAATGCAGAAATGGCATTTTTTTTCATAAGTTGATATTAAAAAAAATGCTGAAACGGCATTTTTTTTTATAAAATGATATGAAAATGCCATTTCGGCATTTTTTTCTTAAGTTAATATGAAAAAATGTCGTTTCGGCGTTTTTTTTATAGATTGATATGAAAAATGCCGAAATGGCATTTTTTTTTCATAAGTTAATATTAAAAAAAACGCTGAAATGGCATTTTTCATAAAATGATATGAAAATGCCATTTTGGCATTTTTTTTCTTAGGTTAATACTAGCCGTAACCCGTCGCGCTGCGCCAGAATATATATTAATTGCATATTATAGTGTATGTATTGAAAAGAAAATTCTGATTTATGTTTAGAATTTTGTTACTTATATAACACTAAATTTTGTTTGTAATTAGAAATTTGAAGAATTGAAATTCAAAATAAAATAAATAATAAAATTAAATAAAATAAAAATTTAAAAAGGTGTAAAAAAAGCCTGAAAAAGAGTTCTGAAAGGTAGTCAGTACCCTCAGAAAAAATTTTTTTACATAGAAAAATTCTTTGCACATTAAAAAGGTTTTTTGCATGTTAAGAAAAGGTGTAGATTTGATTTAATATTAGACTAAGAATTTAATTTTAAGAACACATTGTATAATACTGAGCATATAGTAATTTATATTTACAATATGATTATTATATTATTATATTTATTAGTATAATACAACTATTTATATTTGAATGATATAAATTATATTTACAATATTTACAATACAATAATGTGAAGTGTATTTACAATATGATTAAATTAGAATGATTTAGTATTACAATAACTTGAGACAAATATTATGATATTAAACAAATGTTGCAGTATTATAGAATTTATGGTTTATACGTTTACAGACTCATCACAAAATTAATTCTGAATAATTAATTGTTACAAAAAAAAATAAATAAATTTCTCATCACCAAGAATACCATCATACGAATGTATTACAGAGATTATACCATCGTTTAAAATAAAAATTTATATCAAAAAAAAAAATTCCATTATCAAATCTATTGTTACAAAAAAAAAATTCTTATCACCAAAGCCTATTGTTATTACTAAAAAATCGATAGAACTATTACTTAAGTATTAGAATGACGCCAGTTAGTACCAGGAAGCAAAAAAAAAGTAAATTTTTTTTATAACCGGAACTAACTATTACCAATTAATATTAGTAAATGTCAGTTACCGAACATAAAGAAAGGGCAAAGTCCTCTATTGTTGGAAAAAAAAAATTTAAAAAAATAAAAAAAAATTTCTAATGAAAAAAAAAAATTACTGAATGATCTATCGTTAAAAAAATAAAATAAAATATGTAAAAAAAAAATAATAAATAAATGAAAGAAAGGCTATTGTTATCAGGGAGATACAATATGATCGAAAAAAAATTATCCTCAAAAAAAAAATTTACCGAAGCTGTAAAAAAAAACGTCCCTCCAGTCTATTGTTATCGGGAATAAAAAAAATTTGAAAAAATGCTTTTAAAATATTACTAAGAAAAAATCGGGAAAAAGATCTATAAAAATTACTAAAACTAAAAAGAAAAAGAATATCAGAAAATTACTAAAAGAAATTATTATCGATAAAGAAAAAACATTACTAAAATTAAAATAGAAAAAAAAATCAGTAATAAGAAAAATCATACTAAAGAATTTTTCTAACTATCATTGGGGTGATGATCACCGGTGACTGAAATTATGATGATCGACCAGCATTAAAAAAAATATAGTGCCGGTAAAAATTGATAATTCTGGCCAACGGTGATGATCACCCTTGGTGATTTGAAGTAAAAATCATACTAAAAATACTAAAAAAAATAAAATTCTTAGAATTTAAAAGTATTTTTTAATATATTAATTAAAATAAATAAAGGAATAAACTAAAATCGAACTATTTAGAAAAAAAGAATAAATATTACTAGTAACCGAATATTTCAGGTCAACCTGACTGCTGGTCAATGCATTTTTTTCAATAATTGATAAAAAAAATGCCATTTCGGCATTTTTTTCTTAGGTTAATATGAAAAAAATATCATTTCAGCAGTTTTTTTCATAAATTGATATAAAATGCTGAAACAGCATTTTTCCCTTATTATAAATTTCACAGCTCCCCATGAATGATGGACTCTTGTTTTTTCTTAATAATTAATATAAAAAAAAACGTTTCAGCGTTTTTTTTTTTAAATTTTATACGAAAAAACGCCGAAACGTTTTTTCTTAATAATAATGCAAAAAAAAAACGTTTCGGCGTTTTTTTTTAATAATTTTATATGAAAAAACGCCGAAACGTTTTTTCTATAATATAATTAATACAAAAAAAAACGTTTCGGCGTTTTTTTTTCTAATAATTTTATATAAAAAAACGCCGAAACGTTTTTTCTATAATAATTAATACAAAAAAAACGTTTCGGCGTTTTTTTTCTAATAATTTTATATGAAAAAACGCCGAAACGTTTTTTCTTAATAGTAATGCAAAAAAAAAACGTTTTCAGCGTCTTTTTTCTAATAATTTTATATGAAAAAACGCCGAAACGTTTTTTCTTAATAGTAATGCAAAAAAAAAAACGTTTTCAGCGTTTTTTTTTTTACATATTTGACCCATCTGACCAGAAATATTATGTCGGGTCAAACTGTGACCCGACCCGAGGTCGGGTCATGAATTTGATGACCCGACCCGAAATTTTCGCCGACGGGTCACCCGAATTGACCCGACCCGTTCGGAACACTAACTATTATATGGAATTCATTTTTATTGTATACCTATTAATAATAATACATCAATATGAAGAACTTTGTATAAAAATATATTATCATCATTATGATTTAATCAGAAAAAGTACCACTAATGAATATTAGTAGATTTGGTCATGTATCAAATTTTGGCTTGCATTACACTAAACAAAATCCAGTACAAGCTACAAAATCTACATTTAGTAAGAAATTGCAGTTTATTAATTGGTCAGAAAATTTTTTAAAGTTATATATTGTTAACCAGCATAAAGGGAACAGAACAGGTATATATTATATCATAAAAATTGACTTATCATGGTTTTTTATTAATTGCGAAATGGGAACTAAAACTGTCATTGTAAATATATTAATTACTATATATAGCTATATCTATTGCTATAGACGTTGATTTGCTTAAAAAAAAAAAAAAAAGCTATTAGCTATTGCTATAGCTATTGCTATAAACGTACAGTACAAAATATTCATTTTTGTGCCACTTTCACTACATATAAACTTGCGGCATCAAACAATAAGTTTTTATATTTGTATTTGATTTTGTTGATCTTTATTGATCAAAATAAATAAAGTTTCAAATATATTTCTTTTTTTTTTATTAATTAAAATTAAAAACGTGTAGATGATCATGTAGATCTTGTGATCGATCAATTAAAAAAGTGTTAGACGAAAATTTTTTTTAAATTTTTTAAACATCATGATATGAACTTACCGATCAAAATTCCTTTAGCACTAATAATATTAGCCATAATAATATAGAGACGCTATACTAACACGGAATAAATCATCCGCAGACGTACCGCATTGCACAATTCAAAATCATTTATCTTTATGATAGATACCCTTCCGGTATCTTTTATAAATTTAATATGAATAACTTTTTTTAAAAATTAATTGAATGAAAGATACTCACTATATTAATAAAGAGAATGAAGTTGTAAATCGCATCTTGTAAAAATATTTAAATAACAACACTTTTCTTCGTAAAAATATACACTAAAAACACTAGATCATTTTACAAATTTTACAAGAACAGCCTAAAACACACTTATTTTTGCATTCTCTTTTCTCTTCATGATGAGAACATTATTTGCTCGATTTTTTAAAATATGCACTTTCTTTTTAGTTGTTATCATAACAACAACTGCAGGAGTATCTATTTCAACTATTTCCAAGAGAGAAACGGTTGCTAGATGTCCAGACCGCAACTTTCCTGTGTTTGTAGGTTCCTTTTGCAAAACAGAGACCTCAATGACTGTTCAATGTAAAAATGGTAATAATGTAATGGCTAGTCACCAACAACAATGTAATCCAAGCGAAAAATGTATTGATTTTGTTCTTAACGATGAAGTACCATTTGCAATGTGTGTCCCACGAAGCAAACTTTTGAGTTGGACTAATGGCAATCATAATGATAAAGTTTGTTCGGGCACTATTAGATTTGATTCAGGTGCTACCAGTGAAACTATAACAATCGGATTTAATACATATGATACAAATGGAAACCCAATACAAGTATTTGATGTGGTTGGAAGAGTTAATAACCAACAAATTGGTGAAGTAGAGAATCAACACAATTACAGCCAAATAATTAATAATTATAAATTGCATGATATTGTATCTTTCTGCTTCATGCCAGGCATTTCAGACCCGAATGATCCAGCTTTTGCTAACGAAGTAATTGCTTATGCTTATATTGTACGTCTAAGTTCGATCGGAAAAGTTGCACAATTTACAGATATTGAACCAGTTATTTCACTAAATTAAAATCAAGTCTTCTCAAACATCATAATATACTTTTTACATTAAAACTTGGCGGTCTAGTCTATGTTAGAGCCATAACCACTTTTTATTTTCTATTTTCCCTTTTTCTTTTTTCAAATTTTTTGTTTTTTTTACGCTTTCAAATCGCTTATATCATTGCGGCGGATTATTTGCCGGCAATGATTTATTCCATAAATAAAGTTTTATTTTATTGAATGAACATAAGAAACGAGTCATGTGTAATGATGCGGTCCTAAAGAGATCATGCAATGCCTGTGCGACGCTCTCACTAGATTCGAAAAAAGATAAATAATTTACTTTCGAGTTTATGATTGAACCTTCTCCTCCGTAGCAATGATAATCAGTCCAGAATATTTTTTTGCTTAGCCACGAATTGTGCGACAAAAATTTGTTCTGTCAATTTTTCCTAAACGTGATGCAAATATAATTATTAGTTCATTAATATCAATAATTAATAATTATCAATAATATGAATTGTTTTTAATTTAACAATTTTCTCCATTTTTTCATATAAAAATTAAATATATACTAACCATCACGAGCGATCACAAAAATATATCCTCATTTCTTTTCTTTAAAACAATCAAGGGAAAATTTTAGTACCTAACTTCTCTTTTTGAAATACACGCCATTAAAAAATTAACAACAAATCAATTTATTAATGAATAATAAATAGCTTAATACATAATTATATTATCGCTCTTTTTAATCTTTTTTTTTTCATTTTAATCTTTTCTCTTCCTCAGTTAATTTTATATATTTTTCATTGTTAGGTAAATTGTTCTATCCTACTACGACGATGACAGAAAATTATTCATCATACCGCTTAGAAAGCCTTTTTTAATTACTGTATTCTAAATCTCTACGCGGTACGTGAAGACCTATTACTATTTATTTTCATCTTTTCGGGAAACTCATATGAAAGTACCCTCATATATATGTAATAAGGAATGAGAAAGCAATGAGATATTGAAAATGATATCGTAAAAGTTATAATTTCGAAATAATACCTGATCTCAAATAATTGCGTGAATTGCTTTTGGTGAGATTTCCATTAATCTCTGGTTCAAATTCTTTTAAGTATCTTCTATAAAATTAATAAAGTTGAATAATAATAAATCTTTTCAGATTAGCGGAATTCAAGGATATTTACTTGTATAGTTTGCATTGCCCAAATCACATACCTTTCTTTATCTTAATTAATTGATGCTTATTGATATTATCAAATAATACCTTTGAAATCATTTACATCAAACTCGTATTTTGTTTTACAAAAGTAAAAATAAAAAATAATTAAATATATTATATATTGTAATAAATTTGAAAAAAAAATAACATACGTTTAATTCAATTTACTTTCGTTCACGCTATGCTCAGTCCCAATTGTCAGGCTTTAAAAAACATTTACCTATTTTTTTTACCTATTTTTATTTCCTCATTGTATTATTAAATAAATTTCCCAACATAAATTCATTCGTTTCAAAATTCTTTGTTAAATCATATTCATATTGATAGTGTGATTTTATTAAATAATTAAAAATCCAAATAATAATTTAATATTATTAATAAACGTAAGTTTCTTTTTCCAGAGTATTCAAAGCGAAAAATTGAAAACTTCTTTTATGGCTACTATATGGGTGCAGTAAATTACGAGAAAAAAATAAAATCACCAATTTTTATTAATACAGAGAAATTTATATGGAATCTGAACCATGACTATTCCCTTTTTCTCGACTTCTTCCTCTTCATCCTGTTATTCATAGAAAAATCATTGATCCGCTTTCTAGTTTTTTGAGTTTTGGCTGGTAATTTGAAAAAAAATAAATCTATTGATCCCTATCCCTAGTCGACACTTATCTTCTCTAGTTACCAATACCGCTTCCACCTATAACTATAACACTAGCACGATATTAAAATAAACTATTTGTTAAATGATAAAATAGGAAATATTCTATTTTACATGACGCGTGATCTGAAATGTCGCGTATATTAAACTTAATAAAAAATTCTCTACTTCCATATAATCGAAATAATTAATCCCTCTACGTTTTTCGTACTTTGACTGGTACTATAATTACATAAGATTAATAAATTTTATAATCTAAAATATAGACCTTGAGGTAAGAATTGTGATACTATAAATACTATTAAGCGTCATATACTTCTTTTATTGTCTAATTTATAATTTAACAAGATATTAATAAACAACACTGAATATTTAATAATTATCATTTTCATAAAGATCACGATTAAATACTTACCTTTTTTTAATTTAGTTAGAAACAGAAATTTCCTTATAAAACAGATATATCTAAAATATACAGGAAATTCCGTCATAATCTGGCGGTAAAACCTCGTTCTCAAATATAGAATTGATGTTTGAGGATGAGGTTTATCGCAAGAAATGTAGAACGGGATTTCTTTTATATTTTAGATAATTCTATTTAAATTATTAAGTAATTCTGGTGGACTATTAGTAATAGTATTTTCGGTTTAACTTGTTTTTTTATATGAACGAATTTGAAAGAGGAATATTAGTAATATATTCGCGGCGTGCGTATAAATTATTTATAAAAAAGAAGCAAACCAGTAGCATACCTTTTGAATAATAAGAGGAATAAACCATAAATATATAAAATTTATTCTCTTTTTTTTATGTTAAAATATTGACTGCATAATCAGCTCTTGTAATAATAAATGTTATCTTTAAGAAATATAAATTTGTTTAACAATAAATAACCAATGAATTCTTGGATAAAAGAAAAGGATTTAGCTAATTTTTAAAGTTAATTGACTGATTTAATAATAATTTTTGCTCACGTGTCCAGCAGGTTATAGTATTAATAAATAAACATTAAAATAATTTTGTTAAAAAGGTTTTAGGGTAGTTTATTTATAGGTAAAAATTTGGATACCTACTAGGAATTTGAAAATGAAGTTACATTAATTTACCAAGTATTGGTAACTTAGAATGATAAAAATAAATAAAATAAATTTTGATATAAAAAGAATAATAATAATTACAATAAATTGCAATTATTTCAAGATTAGGGAATAATCGTATTTAAGACTTTATTATTACATGTCTTTCCCTTTAGATTAATGGATAATTTATAAATTCCGGTACAATTAACTTGATTAGAATAAATCAAATAAAAATATTTTACTGTTGAATGATCAAGAAATATGACTAATTTTACTTTAAAAATCGGGATGTCCTGATAAAATTAACATTATGAGTAGTATGCATGTGCAATATAATTGATAGAGAAAATTTCTTGGAATGATAAATCTTGTGAGCGAGAGATTCTATGAGTATTCTATGTATTTTCCTGATTTTAGAATCTAAATAGTTACCTTTTTAAAACAAGTGAAAAGAAATTGTGTCAGCGGTGAAACATACTTCAATTTTTTTCATTTTTTTTTTTTGCCTTTAAGGTTTTTTTTCTCCCATATTTTTCTCGAAATTATTGGTTTTAAACCTATAAGACCTTATAAAAATCTGTTACTTTAATAAAATAAATCTTGGCTGACAAATTTTTATCATACATATCATGATTTTTAGAATTTATATTTTTTTATTTTATCCACTTATATTTTTATCCCATATTTATCTTATATCTATATAACTAAAAAATTTGGCGATGCTTTAATAATTTAGGTTGTGTAACATCTGTCTCTTATACACATCTAGATGTGTATAAGAGACAGATTTTCAGTTTATACCAAAAAATTTTTTTATTTTCGGTTTTTTCGGTTCAAACCGAAAAATGAGTTTGAGATTTTTTTTTATTTTTGGTTTTTATTTCAATACCGAAATAATAATTTTTTTTGATCGTTCTTTTTTTATTTTTCAAAAATTTATTTTCAAAACTAAAAAAAAAATTCTTTAATTAGTTTTTTTTATACAACGCTAAAAATTTAGTTCAGACATTAAATAAATACTATTATTTCCATTCTTTTTATATTTAAACTCTTAAATGAGATTTTTATTTTTTTTTAATTCAGCTCAAAATCTTTTTACATAGTTTGATCACATGACTGAATTTTTTTGAAGTGAATAAATGGCGAAATAATTAACAAATAAATATGACAAAAATGTTTAACAAAATATTAATATGATAAGATAAAATTTCGATTTCACGAAAAAGAAAGACGATATAACACAAAGCAGTGATCGAAAAATTTTAGAAATTAAAAAAAAAAACAAGAAAAAAAAATAAGTGAATGATATTCAAAATGTTATTAAAGAAATGACTCGCTCACAAAAAAGAGGAAGAGATTCAAAAAAGAAAGAAAAATGTACATGTTTAAAATAATTTAACTGTTTATTTTTTATAGTTATGTGTAATTAAAATAGCAACGCTACTTTTATGTTAATATATTCTTTTTAAATTAGATAATAATCAACAAGAGGTCATTTTCATGGGGGAGCTTGGCATACTTTTGAAAGATCTTTTAAGTGGAAGTTATTGTAAAAAAAAAATGACCAGTGATGGGAGACGAAAAGGAGTGATAGAAAGATGAAGAGGAGTAATGGGAGACGAAAAGGAGTGATTGAAAGATGAAGAGGAGTGATGGGAGACGAAAAGGAACGATGGGAGACGAAAAGAGTGATGGAAAGATGAAGAGGAGTGATGGGAGACGAAAAAGAATGATGGGAGACGAAAAGAGTGATGGAAAGATGAAGAGGAGTGATGGGAGACGAAAAAGAGTGATGGAATGATGAAGAGGAATGATGGGAGGCAAAAAGAAGTGTTGGGAGACGAAAAGGAGTGATGGGAGACGAAAAAGAGTGATGGAAAGATGAAGAGGAATGATGGGAGGTAAAAAGAAGTGTTGGGAGACGAAAAGGAGTGATGGGAGACGAAAAAGAGTGATGGAAAGATGAAGAGGAATGATAGGAGGCAAAAAGAAGTGTTGGGAGACGAAAAGGAGTGATGGGAGACAAAAAGAAGTGATAGGAGACGAAAAAGAGTGATGGGAGACGAAAGGAGTGATGGGAGACGAAAAGGAGTAATGGGAAGATGAAGAGGAGTGATGATGGGAGACGAAAGGGAGTAATGGAAAGTTGAAGATAGACGAAAGGAGTGATGGACCTAATAAAAAACGTTTTTGCGACGTTTTTTGTTAAAATAATTAAAAACGTTTGTGAAAACCATTTTTTTTATAAAATTATTATTAAAGAAACAGTTTCGCAATGTTTTCTATTAAAACAATTAAAAAATGTTGCTTTATTAATAAAAAATGTTTTCGCAACATTTTTTTTGTTAAAATAATTAAAAAATGTTTCAAAATATTTTTTTATTAATCACTTATTACATGTTAACACAACATTCTTTAAAAAATAAAAAATTTTTTTTTTTGTGTTATAATGAATTGTGAATTTGCGATTGAAGTGTTTTTTTTTAAATTTAGTGAATAAAAATGATCAACAAAATTAAATTCTACCAAAAAACCTACAATTTGATGGTTAAACTTAATATGACATAAAAGTGCCACAGGAAGCTCTAAATCACAAAATTGTGGTTTAAAAAGCTTCTTAATTTTTTTTTAAAGGGTTTCAGCTTAGTAAACTTATTAGGTTTCGTTCATAGACCAAAAATAAGATGCCAAAAACCTTCAGGAGAGAAATAAAAATGTCATACTAACATTTTTTATTGGAGTTTCAGACTTTATTCAAAAACCTATCTATTTACAAAATAGAAATAAAGAAGTGTTAATACAACTTAGTTTTTGAACTTCCAAGTGCTTTGAAATCAGAACCAGCTATCTATAAATAAGAAAAATGAACTGTCAGTTAAAAACAACCAATCCTACGTCAAAGAGCTTAACCCTAACCCTAAAAAAGTCGCCTAAACACATTAGTAATCATTTCATTAATAGAATTAATTCTCATTCAAAGGCACTAGCCTTTCTGCCTGGACCTAATTCAAGGAAATTTTCAATCGAATCAGGCTAAAAAAAAGGTTAAACTTGGAGGAGAAGTGGCTACATGTAGTAATGGAAATCCGTGCACTTGGTGGATGGGAAAATTAGAAAATTAACAAAGTTACAGTTCAGGGGTTTTATGAAAAGAATATTAAGAAAAAGGATGGTCTCATTAGTACATTAAATGATATTGGTTTATGGTTATATAGTAAACTTAATAATAGCTTGGATACTAATGTAAAGTAGTGTTCATTTTTACTATGTAAAATGGTGGGCATGATTTTTCACGCTTTATTCCTCCTTTGAACATTATCTATCCCAATTTATTTTTAACTTAGTCAAGCTTCTGACTTTTTTTATTACTTTAAATAACAATATAATAATAAGATTCCACTTCAGATTTGTGTATTTGTGCTTTTATTTTACAAAATACATTATATAATACTTTTTTATAAGCATTAAAAGAATTGACTTTCATATATATAAAGAATATTTGATCTCATTTTCTCCACTTTTGGGTTCTATAATTTCATCTGTTATTTACGTGATTTGTGGTATTGAAAGCTCTCTTGAAATTTCTGAAGGTTCTCAGAATGCTGATTAGGATTTACATTATTTTTGCTTGAAACTGGACTATGATTCTTACTTCAATAATTTTCTCTAGGAGATTTTAAATTAGATGAATGTTGATGTGAAGGCTCTTTAGTGATAGGAAGATATTCCTCTTGGATTATAGCATACGCATAATTATCTTCATCAGCAGGGGTGGTATCAATTAGCTTAACACCAAAATCATCAGCTTCTGTTTTAATGTATAATTCTACTGACTGGGACTGAAATGTAATAATATTTTTTCCTGGATGGTATGCAAATACATTCTTTTCTAATACTTCATCAGCTTCCTCATCATTATCAAAAAATTGTAAATATTTTATATATTTAAGTTCTTTGTTTGTCAATAAAGAATTAATAATTCGGCATGCTACTTTATGATATTTTTGTTTTGGGCAGATTTGTGCTCTTAGAAGTTTCTTCTCAGTAATATTTAAGATTGCCTGTTTAATAACTATAGGAAAAGAGCTATGTAATTAATCCAAAACAAAATTGCATAAACTCAAACTAATTCTTACCTTTAAATGATTGTCCAGCTAGAAATTCGTCTGCAACAAGATTTAGATCAATAATACGACCACCAGCTAACTCATAAACTAGTTGCTGCTTCTTCTTTGATTTTGTGCTTGCTGACTAGATATTCTATCGACTCTTCCTTAGTAAGATCGCCAATTTCAATCGGACCAAATGCTCGTGAGTAGGAGGAAGAATTACCTAAATAGGAATTGCACAATAAATCACACTATTTCTTAGAGAGAAAAAAATAATGACTATATTACCTTCCATTATTTTTAGAACTGAGCCTTCACTGCTGACAAACAATGCAATGTATGTTTGGCTATCAGCATTATCTTTGGCACTATTTTGAAGGATACGAATGGTTTTTGGATCTAATCGGTCAACATTATCATACACAATAACCGCAGGTATATCGTATTTGACATTATATGCTTTAGCAGCAAGTTGAAAAGTTATCAAGGCCCTCACCCACTTCGGTTCATCAGATTCATCTATCAAGAAAGAAATTAAGGTCAATTGGATGTTATAAAAATGCAGTAACGGTATAAACTCACTATTAGTACCGCTCAATTTTCGTCTCAATTGATTATTTAAAGAGACATCCTCCTCAAATGCAAAGTTGATAGCTTCCCCAAATGTTTCGCCAAAATCATTAACAAAAGGAGGGACATCGACGTATACAACACCACGACCAACTTCTTTTAATGCAAGTTTGATCAGTGTAGTTTTCCCAGTTCCAGGTTCACCACAAACTGTATAATAACGCGACTGATTTTTGGCTGGTTGGAAAATAGCTTTGAGGTGGCTTACAATTATAGGTCGAGGAAAAAGTTCATCAGCTGAAACGTTAATTTCAGGTCGAGTGCCTTCTTTTACATTTTTAATTAGACGACTATCATTGTTTCTACCTCGACAACAAGCGAGATAACCAAGTATACCAGACATTAGTAAAGGATTTAGTAATGATATATATATATAAAGAGTGATTTGATTATTATTTATATTAATATTGTGAGTTGCACTTTTGTTATTCTTTTAGTGTATGTAAAGTCTTTAAATAACTTTAAGAACTTGAACCACAAGCATAATTGTTCATAATTATAAATCATGACTTGTGATTTCAACAGTTAATTTTACTATTATGATGGTAAGAGTTGATGAGTAACAAGTTATCGTATTATAAAATTATGATGGCATAATCGACGGGATATAAATTTTAATTTCGTAAGTTATGACAAGAGAATCATATTATTATCATACCGAAAATTCTATCGATAATTAGAAAAAGGTGAATCTATTATACGATATTAAGCGCATTAAAAAATTCTAATTAAACTTTTTATCTACAATTAAACTTATCTATCTTACCAAATATTGTTATTTCAATCGTATAAACCTAATTGCTTAGATCGCCTGAAATAAGAAAAATATATACGGTATATTCTTCTTCAAAATGTCAATTTATCTATAGGTGTCATTGCCGAATTAAAATTATGGCATCACAAAATATGGATTTTACCAATTAAATATTTAACATTTACGAATTACAAATTATCTATGACATAATCAGAAAAAAATATTTATTTACTGTGTGTAATTTTTGTATTTTTGACATTAAATAATTACGGTATAAGCGTAATTAATTCCGACGGCAAGATCATCTAAATTCGTAATTTTTCATAATGAACACCAGTATTTACCTAATATACTTGATATAATTGAAAAAAATTTTATAAAAACTTTATCTTTACGATCATTGTGAAAATATAAAGCCAATTAAGCAATTAGCAATAATAATACTTGCTAAATTTCAAATTGTATTTATTTATTTAGAATAATAACATGATTGATTAAAATGTTGTTATTACTTGTACTATTTCTATTGCTTATATTGTTTTACTATATAACTTTTGTTATTATTTTACTATTGCTGTTATTAATTACTTCCTAGAACTATTTGACTTAAGCATTCTCCATATTATCATTATCATTATACAATTGTTTAACAGTCGAATTCAAAGCTGGAATAATTTTTTCCGCCAAATAAAGTGCTTCTTTTTTCCATTTATCTTCATCATCCATACATTTGCCTAATATAGGTTCTACCAACCTTTTCAATACTATGTCAAACCATTTTCTTGCTTCCTCCATCTGCTTGAGATTAATGTATAATAACACGATATCAAAGATAATACCATTAATGATTTCCAGATGAACATTTTTATATGAACTGTATACCTCTTTTAGGATAGAAAGAGCCTTACTTTGGTTTCCATTTTCGCGATAAGCGAGTGCTAGAATTTTACTGGGTGCTAGTGTATCAAATTCAAGCTCTGGATGTTCTTTTCTAAGATCGTGTAATTCAAAAATTGTCTTTTCTAATCTTTTAATGAGAGAAGAATCAGGATCATTTGATAAAGGTTTGATTAATTTTTCAACAGTATCAAGGAGTTGTGTTCTTCTATGTACGGTTTTTGGTGCTTCAGATTTATCCAACTTACAAAGTCGACATTGACAATCTATGCCTATTGATTTAAGATACCTTGATCGTATCTCATAGCTACTATCAGCACTTCTGTAACAAATAAGTAGTTCCTCACCTTTTAAAATAGGTCTAAGAGATCGCATAAACATTAAATCTCCAAGAAAAAATCGTGTAACATTTCCATCAATACATGAATGATTAAAATAAGATGGTAAAATCCATAATCCTTTACCACTCAAATTAACACTTTCAACTATAACATTATCCAATGCAAAAGAATTATATTTGACAATATTTCCAATTATATCAACATTCACTAAATTCTTGTTAATTTTATTTAAATTCAAGCCATTGTAAAGTTCGTACACCTCCTGACAATGATAGGGTTCTTCCAGAAGTTTCTGCGTAATTTGGGTTATTAATTCCCCAGTACACAAAGATGATGCAACACACGTAGTCTGATCATTTTGAATATGACTCTTCATAGCATACCCAAGGACTTCATGACTATATACTATACTAAATGCCTTAGAGACTACCAATAAAGTATTTTCAGGAATATCACATTTTGCAATCAATCCTCTTCCTTTTCCTTTTATCGAACAAATCTCAATATCTTTACATAAAAAATCAGCATGATCCAATCTTGGTCCTACTTCGTGGACCCATTCGTCATTGCCTTTACTATCTTTTCTAATTTTAGCTCTTTCACAATACTCATTGATAATACTAATATAATCATATTGCCCATTTTTATTTTCAGAATCTAAAATTTTCGCATGTTTGAGTAATTGTTCTGTACTCTGCTTAATCGAAGAAATACTACCATCTGTACTGACTTTTAAACTTTGATGCAAATGTTGAAGTGTAATAATGGCTTCTTTATAACGTTTAAGACCACAAAGAGCTTTACCTTTGCGATAAGCTGCTTTTAAATGACTAGGTTCATATTTAAGAACAACTTCTGCATCATTGAGAGCATTACGAAATTGAAATAATCGCAGATATGCCTCTGCTCGGTTAGCGAACAATGTACCATTTTGTGGTTTCAGTTTGATACCATTTGAATACTCATCAATAGCTGCCGTGTAATTCTTTGAAGCAAAATAATCATTCCCACGACAACGGAATTCATCAACGGTCTTTCCTTTAATTTCTTTCTTAACCAATAGATCGGAGGTCCATATTAAGTCGCTAAATAACTTGTCATTATGATGATCAATGATAATAACATCATCAGGATTATTTGAATTAATTATGGTATTCTTATCGGCAGCAACTTTATATGATAAGTTTTTGATAACGAGTTTGGTGCCTACTGGTAGAAATGTTTGATCAATAGATCGACAAGCCATCTGTTCTACTTTGTTTTTGGGTATATTTGTCCAATTGTATAAAGCAAGTCGTTCCACATTACCATCTGGATCTTCCACAAGAGCTAAAAGAGCGCTTATGTTTATGAATTTGGTTATCACTCGACATAACAAAAAATTTTCGGTGGATTTATGATCAATTTGTAAATTTGCTATGGATATCCGATGTTGAAGATTTAAACTCAAATTGGGTTGACTACGAGCGGTATGAACCAAATATTTATTTTTATCACCGAAATAATCTAATTTCTTATGTTCTTCAATTAATCGTTCCCTACTTTTTTTTTGAGAAATATTACCAGTATTTAAACGTAAAACGGAATTTTGCAATATATCTACCGATGATATTACAGTATCTAAAAATTGGAATTTCATATTTAGTTATAACGAACGGTTAAAAAATGGCAAATTGTAAGAAAAAAATTTTTTCTTGGGAATTTTTTTTTGTAAATTGATTATTTCATATCAAACATGACATCATAGATCGCCTTATAAATACTAATTAAGGAGTGACAATCAAATTATCATATGGTAATAATTCGTTTAAAAAATTGGAATTATTAACAAAAAAAAAACTAATTGCTTAAATTATAAATTAATTATATTTATTAAATTGTTATGTATAAATTGTATTTGTTAAATAAAATATTCAATTGTTAACGATTAAAGACGTATTATTTCTTAAAAAAATATATTTGTTTAAGAGTTGCAATTGTTAACTGACAAAGTAAATTTTTATGGCAGGGGCATCGATCAAGGTAGGGGGGCGACGATTAATGTGTGACAATTAGGGCATCACACCCAAAATGTCACCCGGGATCGCTTATTCATCACATGATCAACACGTGATCGCATCACATGCCTCAAACAGAGAATATTTGATTTGTAAATTTATATAAATTAGACGAATTTAATAAACTATAATTTATAATGTTAAACATGAAATTTAAAGAAAGTTATTGGAAAATGAAAATTTCATATTTTCTATTCTTCAATAAATTGAAAAGACAATTCTTAAATATATAATTTAAACTTTATAAATGCGATATCGAGTTTAACCTAAACAGTTACAAAAGCTATATTGCAAGCCGAACTGAAAGCGATATGATACTGTATTAAATCATAATATTTTATAAATATTATATTTTATTAGATAATTAAGTTTTATGAACTTTTAAGCATGATTGCTACATTTTTCATTGGACAAATTATGCGACGTGATGACACTTTATATAGATTATATTATATATAGAAACAAATAAGCTTTATTTATTTTATGTGAAGTAAGAAAAACAAATAAGCTACCTTTATATGCCGTAATTCGTTAGCAAATTATAATGCGGGCCAAAATCTAGTTCTTGCCAGCATTATGGTTAACTTTTTGGCCAACCAATAATAATTTCAAAATTCATATGATCGTTAACTCCGCTAAATTTACGGTGCTGGGCAAAGTGTAACCAAAAATATTGGTATATGTTATACATTACTATAAAGGGGCAAAGGAATTGTTTCGATATATGTTATATCGCGAAATTATATATAATATCGGTATAATGAGATTTTTTTATTAGTTGCGAAACGGGACAAAGGAAATTCATCGGTATATGTCAATTATCGGTATATAAACTATCGATATATCGAGGTTAGACTATGTTACTATAATTTGACTGTTAGATAAGAACAGAAATGATGCAACGTTGTCATTGTTGTGTAATTTATGAAGCGATCGATGAGGATTTTTTCTCGCACATACATGTTTACGATATATTCGAAAGAAATAAACACGTGATCTAGTTTCAATTCTTTTTTTCTCATTCCCCGTCAGCTTTTTGTAGGTATTTTACTCGAAGAAAAGCCAGCTTTTTTTGTAAAATATTTTATACGAAACTACTCCAAAACCTTCTAATAAATTCCATAAAATTATTATTTAATAGTGACGATAATGTTTTCGGGTATTTATAAATTTAAATCACAATTGGAATCAAGAAATGTAAATAATAAAGACGCTTTACTCAAAAACTTATATAAATATACATATATTACACATACACTCCCCGGTAAAAAGTATCCGACCACCCTAAAAATTAAAAAATCTTAAAAAATTCAGTGGGCCCAACAATAAATTTATATTTATTTTAAAAGTTTGAGACATGAGACACTTTTTAAAAGTGTTTTTTTAGCTTAATTATTAGTAAAAATTCGCGGACATTTTTAATTCTAAAAATGGCAAAATTCTTAACTTTTTAACTAGAGCAGTTACGGCCAAATGAATTCCAGAAATCAATTCTTTGACTAAAAAATAGCTTATGTTTAAAAAATCAGAAAGATTGGANACTTTTTTAGGGTTAGGGCTGTCTCTTATACACATCTAGATGTGTATAAGAGACAGCTTCAGTGGTGGATTTTTCGGCAACTACCAGTCCAATCTTTCTGATTTTTTAAACATAAGCTATTTTTTAGTCAAAGAATTGATTTCTGGAATTCATTTGGCCGTAACTGCTCTAGTTAAAAAGTTAAGAATTTTGCCATTTTTAGAATTAAAAATGTCCGCGAATTTTTACTAATAATTAAGCTAAAAAAACACTTTTAAAAAGTGTCTCATGTCTCAAACTTTTAAAATAAATATAAATTTATTGTTGGGCCTACTGAATTTTTTAAGATTTTTTAATTTTTAGGGTGGTCGGATACTTTTTACCGGGGAGTGTACATAATATAATAATATATGTAAAATTAATCTCATTCGTTTGTATATGAATTATTATGTTTTACAAAATTTTTTTTGTGCGGAGGGAAATCGAAAATTTTCTTACGTATTATTATTAAAGTTACACATTGAGAATAATTATTATTTTTTATTTCGTAATATTTCAACTTCAATGGAATTTTTTTTTATTATTATTCGACAAAAATAAAATAGGTTGAACCATATATGGAAATTTTAACAAAGTAAAGTAAAAAAGAAATAATCTGTAGAACAATACTTTTGATTGTATAATGTATATAATTATGACACGTATTTTGATTCAAATTTCCAAAATAAAAGGGAAAAGGCTTAAATTCTTTATTTATTTGATTTAAGCACATTGAGATTGATTCGATGCAAAATAATTTCAAAAATGATTATAAAGTTTATTTTTGTGAATTTAAATATTACAAATAAGATAGAAATTATATCAAAAGAATATCATTTTTGTTACATTTCTCCTAAATATGTTTTTTTTTTTGGAATTAATCATCCGACCTAATAGTTGATTTTTCATGCAAAATTATGCATACTATGAAAATTTAGTTAAATTTATAGTTAATACAGCAGAAGCGTAGATCTTATGGGAATAGCCTTTTTTAAAGATAACCGTTGAACAAAACTGTACGTATATAAATAGCGTAATAATTGAACGTTTTAAACTTAATAAAAAAAAAAATTAACAAAAAAAAATAAAGAAAAAAAATTTTGTTTTAAAAAAAAAGAAGAAAAGAAAAGAAAAAAAAATATAAATATATTATTTTTTTTAAAAAAAAAAATCTAAGTAATTCATAAGTCCTTATAATAATTTATTCTTATTTTTCCGCGGAACAAAGCTTAAAAGTTACATCATTTATTAAATTTAGCTAAATTTAAATTTTTATAATAATAAAATAAAATCTTAAATATGAACACGAATTGTTTCTTTCTTTTTCTTTCTTTCTTTTATTTTTCTTTTGCTTATATTACTCAAAAGTCATAAAGAGGCTGGAAGGATACCTCCTCTGCTCTCCTCGCCTCGTTGATGTAGAAAGAATATGACGACGAAGGTAATTCGGGTGGCGGCGAAGTATCAATAATTTCGAAGTTACTAATATCCTCTTGATAACGTTTGCTCATAAGAGATTCTTGCCCAACTGATAGCTCATCGATAGCTTCTTTTGATCTAATTTCCATTTTAGAAGGTTTTTTCTTATTGGGCTTTCGTGTTCTACGCTTGGTAATACGATCGGCGTTGTAAACGTAAGGGTTTTTGATCTTAATCACTTGAGTTTTTCGATCTTTGAAAATTGCATTAGCATATTTCGTGAAATAAGTTTTAAAATTTTTATCCGCTACATTCCAGCAGTCCGCCGCTATGCGTGAAATCTCCTTAGGGTCTATATCGTACCCTTTAAGCGCTTCGGTGCATGATTTTCGAAATAGGCAAAAGTTATTGCACTTAAGATATTCCTTATAAACTTCCGATTCTGGAGGAGGCAGAGTGATTACTATACCGAGGATTCTCATGAACTTGATTCCATTAACCTCATATACTTCCGGAGGTTGTACGGATGAGAATTGACTCATTATGACGTTACGATGAGCTTTAACGAATAAATACGATAAATATAAGACGGAAGGAATTGTTTCTTCGTTATCATTTTGAAATATCTCAGAACATGGTCTTTATATAGTTTTTAAGAAATTTAAATCGCTTTGTTTCGATTGAATCAATTGTTTAATTAATTTATTCGTCAAAAAGAAGGTAATAAAAAAATTTTCTTTTTTTTTTTCGGCCGCCTTTTTCTCGGCTAAAAAAAGCGTTAACAAAGTCAATCGTATCGAATCTTAATAATATTAAATTATTTTGTCAGCTGACACATGGTCAATTCGCTTACTCGCCGTCAAAATAATTCCGATAATTCAAATTACCCCGATTCGTTAATTAAAATTATTTCAAGCCTCATTTCATTAAAATATTACTATATAAGGTAATTACCCCTATATTATTTGACATTTTGATCTCAGTTTTTTAGTGTGAGAAAAATGGAAAATAAATAAAAAATAATATGACATATTTAACCTCAATTGAAATTTATCATATAATAATCTAAGCCACAATTTTTAAAATAAACGTTACAACGTGTTCATTATTATTATTAAAAAAGAAAAAAAATCTCTTTAGATCAATGCGGAGTACCATTTCCATAATAAAAAAATCCTTCTAATTAGAATTATATCGTTTATTGATGTAGATTATGGCAAAGCTCCCCGCATTACACCGAGCATTACATCGATCATGATCTACAATGAGACGCGTGTTAAAAATCAGAATATGCGCCTAATCATCTTTACCATTAAAAGAATTTTATTGATTATTCATTCGTTCGTATCCAAAGTTGGAACAATACAATGGTTATGACATCAGAATAATTTAATTGTTTGACAAATACATCATCGTCTATTCGGCTTTTAACTTTTAATCACGTATTTATTTGTCAGATAAGTGAGAGGTATTATATATCGGAATTAAGAGCGACCATTTTAAATACCGATTAAGAATTTGTGTTAACTAATTCTTCGTTGTCATATGTAGTGTAATTCATGGTAATAAAAGGCAATAATGACCTTTTCTGTAACAAATTAGTCTTAATCAAATCCTATAAATCCTATAAGACGTTAAAATTAAGATGATCTACATTGATAATTGTAAGTCATAAAAGTCATAACATGAATGGGATTATTGTGCCGCACCATACTATAAAAAAATTTCGCGTTGCTTAGCAATAACGATATAAATGAATGTTTCTTACGCCTAATCTATCTGATCTACCTATATCTCAACTAATAGTACATGCAGCTTATTAGAAAGAAAATCTGCCATTTTAGGATCAACATACATTTGCAATTACATAATTTAAATATCACGGTGATAAAAAAACAATATTTTATCGTCATGTATTATCAAGCCTTTTGTGTTCATATTGTATCATATTTGGTATATTTTGTCTTTGTAAAATTTTGCCTAAGAGATTGGCTAACTTTTAGTAATGGTAATCGCTTTTATAACAGACTAAATTTATCCTAGTCCATTTTTTTTAGGGGATAAAAATCATGCAGCTTTTTTTGATAGACATTTTATTTTGTGCGAACAAATGGATTAGATTTAAATTCAACTTTTGGATTTTTCTAAAACTTGTCTTTGTATTCTCAAAACTAAAAATTGAATTATCATACTTAAATTTTATGTTTAATAAGCATTGTATTACAATAATTTAAATGAAAAGGATGGCCGAATTGAACTCTTGACGTAAAAAAATGGTCATTTTTGTGTAACGTACAGATATATCAAGGGATATATCAAATTGGAACATAAAAAGAAAAAAAAAATTTTCTTATCCTTGACATAGCTTTCCAATTTTAAAAAATATCAAAGAAAATGTGGTGGCTGTGCTACAAATTAAGAGAATTTTCGGAATATAAAAATTTTTAGCAAGATGTCATGTATGTGGAATTGTGGGATGGGATTGATTATAAAGACTTTTTGTCCCACTTTTATGCATTTCTCTATGCAGGGGATTAGCTAGTAAGGATGTTGGATTTTTTTTTTTTTTACATTGTACGATTTTAAAATACTTCTTGTTGGGTAAAAACTATTTTCATATGATGTATATTTTTCACTTTCATCTAATTTCTAAATTAATAAAATTCAATATAATCTCCTTTTTTTATTATTGGTCATTACTAATAAAAATAATAAAAAAATAATAATGTATTATTATTATTATTATTTCATTTTATATAAATTCATTAAGTATTAGACATTCGTTCTATTACTATCATACTTAATAATATGAAGGAAGGGTATGTTCGGTATTAATTAAATTCATTTTTAATATGATGTTATCATATTCGAAAAACAAATGGTCAATTAAAAATAAAAAATTATTATATTCGAAAAACAAATGGTCGGTCAATTCAAAATAAAAAATCATCATATTCGAAAACAAATGGTCAATTCAAAATAAAAATTCATTTATAATAATTATTATTTTATGCATTCTTTATATTTATCATAATTAGAGATAAAGATATTTGTAAACTCATTTACAAATAAAAAAAAAAATTAATCAGTAATTTTTCAAGTTCAAAGTTCAAACATTTTTGGGCATGAATTGATGACAAAAAAATTAATTTCCGTGGTATTTCCAAAAAAAAAATCTTTTTCATTTACATTTAATTAATTTTTTTTTTTTTAGTGGATAAAAAATTCTCCGATATAATTAAGAAGAATCATTTACTTTTTTGGTTCTAAAGGTATAATTTGGAAATTATTAATAATCATTATTAATATATGCTGACATAATATGGACCGAAAATTTTCCGTCAAGATAATTATCCGATTTTCATCTATCGGAACAAATTCCCGCTAATAATAATTAACAACAATTTTCTTAAAGGAAAATTTCCAACAATTCATTATTCCACTGCATTGAGGTACTTCACATGGTAACCTTTAGTGAAAAAAAGGTGAAAGTTTATTACGATCTGCGAGCGCCTTCATGACTGTATATATGCGAATAGGAAAAATAATCATATTAAATGGATTTTCTATATTTCTCCGCATGATAATAATATAACTGTCAAATTTTGATACTGTACTTTACTGATTCACAAGTTCTTTCATTTAACAAACTAGTCCAGTTTTGGGTTACATTTTTATAAAAAAAAACTCATTCATTCGTGGATTGCAATTAAGATGAATAGAAAAAGTAAAGATTTTAATATGTAAAACTTATACGTAAATCTCATTTAGTATAAAATACATAAAAAATTTTATCAGTCATGTAATTTGTATTTACTATTTTTATTGAAAAAATGTCGGTCATATCGTAGGTTGAAAACGGAGATTTTTCTTTGTTTTTATAAAAATATCTTATAATTAGTATGTAACTATTCGTATATGGGTATAAAAAAATTGGGTATGTTAAAAATTACGAGAAATAAATATTTTAGTCTATACTACTTTTTTAATGAACATATATATCCACAACGATCATTCTCATTCGCGAAATTGTCTATTAATTAATATTATTATCCAATTAATTGTCGCTGGTCATCTTATTATAAAATATAACCAATATTTTTTTTCAAAGCGAATCAAAATTTAATAACTATGTACGAATATGCACATACGTATTCACGTATAACTCCACAAGACTTACATGCACGTACGATTAACCGTCGATTTGATAACCTTAGTTCTTTTTAATGTTTATTTAGTGAGGACAGCATTATTTACCGAGCTTTTGTAGCTCAGTAGGCTAGTCAATAATAAATAGCATATACATTCATTGTACATTATATGTTTAAAAAATAATCATACAGTTAGCTCACAAGTGTGGATGTTAAATGTTCAAATAAAAAATGAACAAAACATAATGGTTTTCATAAATTTTATTAAATTATTATCCCGGTTTACTTAAAAAAAATAATTATCGATTTTTTCGAAAAATAATGATTTTCATACTAAATTATCCCAGTTTAGTCGATTACGTAACAAAAAAAAAAATAAATAAATAAACGATGTTTTTGATTTTCCACCACCCCGGTTTCCGTTATACTATTTTTTGCATAAATAATAATTCGGTTATGTAACAAATGTAACAAAAAAGTTATAGCTAAAATAAATAAAATAAGAAAATAAATAAAAATGGTTTTATCGCATACTATTTTAAGTATTTTTCATTGCATATCATATTTCGAACAGTACTATTCTACGAAATGTTTTGGAATTCCTTATAATTTATGATAGTCCATAGGGATTAAAACTTAATTTTAGATAAGAAAATTTTCTCATATACATTTTTTTTTTTTCTTAGAAATCAAAGATTGAAAATCTCATTATTGTTGGTCTCATCGAACATATTTGAAATTCAGTCTGAGCTTCCAAATGTTGACGTGTATGTACCTCTTGATCAACGACGAACCTTCTAAAAGAACTCTTTTTAGGTTTGCTCCTGTTGTTTACTATCCGATATACTTTTTTCCTGTTATTTAAAACATCATTGGCGTAATTCCTGAAAAACTCTTTTAATTGATCATTAGCAGAAGACCAAGATATCTTTGCAATTTTCGAGCACTCTTGCGTACTCAGACCAGACGCCTTTTGTAAACATCTTCTGTACATAATGAAAGGATTACACCTGAGGAAATCTCTGTACTCCAGTGCATCTATTGGAGGCAATAGATGATAGTAAACACAAGCTTGCGGGACACTTAAAAAATACTGCCCGAATTCATTACTATCGATTTTTGGACCAACATCGGACATCTTAAAAATTTATATATATATATATAAGATTTATGGTTAATTCAATTTTTCCATCTGGCCGTGAAAAGGTCTTTTTATAAGAAAAAGTTACACTTTGTTTCATGCATCAAGAGATATCATGTTATCTCATTTGTTTATTGATACTTTGAATCGAAAAGAAATATTTAAATGTAGAACAATCACTCAAAGACTTTTTTTTGATCGGAAATAGTATTAACAAAGAGAGATGAATGGTCAATTCGTTATCGACGCCAAAATAATCAATAGTATTCATCTATAAGAAAATCACGTCATGATATAATATGATGTCTGATTACTTTATTATAATGTGGTTCAGCATTTTAATAACGTTTAGTAATATTAGATAAGCAGTCGTTTCATTGTAATCTCCGCGAAGAAAATAACCAGACTTAAATAAGAAAACTAACTAATCATTCTTTTTTTTGTCTCGGCCGATGGCCTACTATCACTTTATAACATTAGTAAAATAATAAAGATAGAACGCGTTATTATAAAACCAATTTGTATTAAAAAAAAAGTCTTATTACGCCATATCACTTTTAACTTTATCAATCAACTACAAGACTCCGCTAATTATCTTTTAGGTCAAATGAAGAGTTCTATTATTAGGCTTATATAGTTGAAATGATTATTTTTATTTATGATTGTATTTTTATCTTATTTTGAATAAAAAAAGGAAAGAAAATGTATTACGTATCATTGGAAATTTCCGCACGGAAATTTCCGCAGTTTAATTACCGCTTCAATCAATAAATCGATAAAAAATTTCATTTTTGAATTAAATGAATTAAATTTTTACAGTAAAAAGTGGCTAAATATGACTTTATATAGTGAATCAAGTACGTACATATTGTTACTTTTTGATGGTTCAAATTAAGATCTGGTGATCAAATACGTTTATCAGATTAACATGTGAGATATAAATAGTTTAATTGTCACCAAAATTAAACAATTATCATTCATGGGGAATATCACTTCCGGATCTTATAAACGGTAATCTTATAAATATAACTAAGATAGAAACATATGACATACATAATATTAATAAGCTTTTTCATCCAACAGGAACAGATTTATTGTTGCGGCTTGAAATTAACAATTTTTATTGGAACAATAATAATGGCAAATGTAGACAATGAGTTACGTGTATAATAATAACGAATGATTGATTTGGTTAACATAGCCACTAATGATCAAAATCTTGGGGTAATAAAAAAAAACCATTCAAATATTACTTAATGTATACTTTAAATTTGTTCCGAACATTAATTTATCTGATTTCAAATGATCAAATGTATAGATTTTACTTTTCACGCATAATTGATTCGGTATATTTAGTACTTTAAAATTTTTTTTTTTTTTTTTTCGTTCTTTGTTTAAATATAACTAATTTTGTCTATATATGAACTAATCCTGTCATTCACGAAGGTTATTGGTGTTCTATGATTACTTTTTTTTTTTTTTTTGAATGTATTTTGGAATAATAATTATGCAAAATGTCGTTTTAGCCCAATTTTGTACATACTCAAAAATGGAATATTGAGCTGATTCTGATTTCCGGTGTTGCAGATATAATTCCTAATTTGTACTGGCTTAAGGCTTTGTACTACTTAAATGTATATCACGGGCTATTGTAGTATACCACCTCCTCAAATTTTTAAAACCAAAAAAAACCTTTGAGGAGTGATCGTCCTCGGTTCTACCACATAATCTAGGAAAAAAATTTTTTTTTTTCGATATTGCCTTCATTTAAATAATTCTTTCTTTTTTAACATAAAGTGAGAAGAAATTAATAATCGGTTTAATCTGAATTACGCTTTTTTCATTTTTTTTTCATTTTTTTTTTAACGCTCAAATCAAAATCACATAAAAATTTTATTAAATAATCATTTTTCATAAAAATATTTAAGTACGCAATAATGTCAATTTCTTTTTTTTCTTTTCTGAAAATTTGTGTATTGTTTATATTTTCATTAAGAATAACTACCTTCACAAAAATTACATTCACGAAAGCTACTTTAAAACTTTACAATAAAAACCGGTTTCAATTAAAATGAGTTATATACCTTCTAAAGGGCTAAAGGAACGAAAGTCCATAAAGAGGAACAGAATGAATTCCCTACAAAAAAAAAAAAAAAAGAAGAAATTGGACAAAATTTCTATAAGGAGGATGAAAATGTATAAAATAGGTGAGAGTTTTTAACGGAAATTTTATTTTTTCCGATGTACGCCAACAACGTGGCCGCTTTTATGATGATCGCAAGATAAAAAGAGATACGATAGAAAAAATCAAATTCTTTTAATAGAAAAAGATCTACTATTCATTCAAGCAATTTGTAATGTTTAAATGAAAGTTTTTTTTTTTATTCCAGAATGATATTGACCTTTCTAACAAATAATACCTCTTGAACGTGTTTCAATGGATCTTTTTATAAAATAGTATTGAAAGTTAAAAAACGAGTTACATTGTTTAACAGTTCTACAAATTCATTTCTTTTAGAACCTAGAGAAATTTTGGTATTAAAGTTACCAAAATAATGAGTCATCGGCCGTCTAATCCCGAAACATTCGAGCATATATATTCTCTGGTCTAGATAGGAACAAAATCCAAAATGGAACCAGAGAGATATCCGCTTCTTTATTGGATTACTCCTTGTCTGTTGCTCTAACCATGAATTGAGATCGGAATGGGCGTGAAGGGCAGAATTTCTTTAAATCAACTTGCACTTATCAGGTGATGAAACTAATATGATTCCTCTTAATTCGATGATTTATCGCCCTTTACCAGATAATCGATGAATAATGGACGATTACACGAATTTTGGTATTCGAATATTCTATCACAAATTTAGAGGATAAAATGGCATAATAGAATTAAGTTGAAATTGCTGCTCGTTTAGTCTTCTGAAATATGACATGGTTATTGAGTCACAAGTCAGGTTTCGGATTTGCATTAAAAATTTGAAAAATTCAGCTTAGTAATCAGAAAATGACGCCCATTCTAATGGTATAATGGGTTATGCGTTTGTTTCATTTTCATTGTTTAGCTGCAAATTTATGTTTGCTGATGGGAATTTAGGTTAAAGTAGTTAAGATTTTATCGACGATGCAGATTTATTCATGTTTGGTTGTGGGAATTTAGTTAAAGTAGTTAAGATTTTAGCGTAGATTTTTAATCAATTTATTGCCAATTGAAATCTGTGAATAAACAATATTATTTTAAACATCCTGCACAATTAAACAATGTTTGGCTGCAAATTTATGTTTAGAGGCGGAATTTAAGCTTATTAAAAACGATTTTATGTTAAGTGCGTGCGTGCATGCATGATCTTTACTTAATTTTTAAATTCATTGAAAAATTTTCCCATTATCAATCTAGATCTATTTTATTGATATAACTAGTTAACAGTATAGTATAATTTATATAGATGTATTTTTTAATATTTATATAATTTGATCACTGGGCTCTTGTTAACACTATAACTTCAACTATATGAAATATGAGCTGTTCTAATAAATCTTTTGATATCCCATTGATGTTCATAAATTAATTTTTTAATTTCTTCTCGAGTCTATCCCAGAGAAATAAATTTGCTATAAATATTAGCGTCAAAGTTTTTTTTTTTTTTTTAAAAAAAAAAAAGGATATTATTCTACATACATTACGTCGGGAAACCGTGTCATTGATATGATTTATTGATGTGATAATATGTAAAATGACTCGGTTTCAACCAATATCTAAAACAAAGTGAAAAAAATTAGAACTAATCTTTCAACAAACAAAAGAAAAAAAAATGTGTTAAAATTAAATGACGATGAAATTATACCTTCATGATATTTTTCTATACTACTATTAACTTGATTTCATCTTTTTTTCATCATAATTACCAAAATCATTGAATATAGGATACGATAAACAAGTTTATGAGAATGGCGACTTAAAAAAATATATTCTCAACTTGGAACAGGGCACCCAACAATCTTTGGTCCTATTAATTACAGATTCTTCTATTGTCGACTTCAAGTCTATCCATATCAAATAGGTTAGTTGAATGTAGATGTCTTGAATGTAATGGGCAATTCGTAGAAGAGCTATTTTTTTGTAGGTCCAAGACGCCGAAGGTATGTGTTAACGTTCCGATTTTTTAATTTTTTTTATCGAAACGTTTTTAACGTTTCGAATGTTTTTTTTTTAAATTTATCGGAACGTTTGTTAACATTCACGAAATGACGAACCAATATTCAAATGATGATCTAGTTATCAAGGAAAAATTATTCCTAAAACCACCAAGACAAGATCCTGTAACTCTTGAGGAACTGAACTTAGATTTATTATTCCAACAGAACCAACTGATACAAATCATGGCTAACCCAAACCCAAGCTGATTTTCAAAACTAGATCTCTACTTTTGAATCCACCTTGAAAGTCAGACAGGGAGAACCTTTAATAGACACTGAACTTCTTCAATTTAACCAACTTTGATGATGGCTAATGGCTAGAAGCAGAATAAGTAACCTAGTTTAACAAGATGATTTTCAGCACTTTGGGCTACACAGCCAAGAGTTAGAAAATTCCTCCCTTAAGTTACATATGAACTCTTCACACACAGTTATCACCAAATTACCCCAATGTGGCGACGAAAATCCTAGCATTCTGTATTATAATTTCAAAGAATAGTTCAAATATGGATGCCGTCAAAAATATATACGACATAAGCCGAAGTGTCGAATTTTTTTCATGTTGAAAATCCGTAACCGTAAAAAAAAACCCCCATATGTCGTAATTAATTAAGACGCTGACGCCGTAATTGCTGCCGTAATTCGCCTAATAGTAATATAAAGTCTAAATAAACAAACTACATAAGATATACAACAATTATATATAATTTTCAAATCAAACATACCTATCAAAAGTAATCATACATTACAAAAAGAACATATAGTGATTGCAATAATAAATGGATAACAACCTTCCTTTTCCGTTCTTTCCCTTTCGATATGACAGGCACCTTTATCTGGGATCCAGTAAATTCCGCTATGATCAGCTTCATGGATTGTCGATTTTTATTTAGAATTCGTATTGAAACTCTTTTAAAAATTTGTCATTTTCATCTGCTGTAATGACTTTAAATGCGTATGTGAATTGTGATTAAACAGATGCGCATGTGAATTGTGATTCAACAAAGTTCCGTAAACAGGTGAGCCAAAATCATCAGCCGTCAAACATGTATAAATGACTCTTGAGTTAATCGAGACAACATTCCAGGAATTATTGGATCAAGTGAAATAATTGTTTCTGTTGGAGATAATACAGTAGCATGTGTAATTATGATAAGTAACAAGATTATTTTTTTTAAAAAAAAGAAATAATCTATTTGCAACACTGGTGATAAATGTATGCGCCAAAATCAAAAATAATAATAATTTTGTATCTAATAAAAAGAAATGAATAAATGGAGATCAGAAACATACCGTATATCTATAAAATGACGTGATCAATTAAATGTTAAAGTTTACAAATGTGCTGAAAAGAACCAAATAATAAAAATAAACATACCATAATTAATGTAAATTGACACGCATATCTCCTTAATTCTTTATCTTATAAAACTTATAGATTTTATTTTTTGACAAACTTTAATACCGTCAAAAGCATTGTAACCACCATTTTTCATCAACTTGACGCTCGTACTCATTCATTTACACGCTAGTTTTTAATTTTACGTGGTTTAATTGAGGATAAACAGAGGAAGAAAATATCCAAGTCTCTGGTCTTTGAGTAATGGGGTTAAGCCTAGAAAAATATGGTTGTGAATTGTGATATATTTTTAAAACCTCTCGCATCAGCCTTAAATGCCTAAATTAAAATCAAAATGAAAATATTAATAAATCATTCGTATTCATGTATAGCTTTTGTGGATGAGTTATCAAGTTTACCTCCAAAATTTCTCATTTTATATATCTTAACAAACTCCTGGGCGTCTTGTCATTTTTGGGAATATCAAAATTGGGTTTCTATCTTTTAAAAGAGAATTTAAACTTTAATGTTTGGTGGGTTTAACACCTGAAAAGTATTTTTAATAACCTATTACATTGTAAATTTTTTGCATTTTCGGTCTGGAAGCAACGATTTTCGTTGTAACATTTGATGAATGAATGATAAGGGGATCCCAACACTTTATATGAGAAAATTATTTTGTCGTACAGATTGTCGCATGATCAGCGGTACAACGCTGTAAAACTTGACCAGTCATGCTGTACAGTATATGCGAGTTACAGATCAAGAAGGTAAACTTTTAATGAAATCAAAATACGTGTTCTTACTTCATTTCTTTGTTTCGCGGTAGTCTAACCATATCTTCACCAACAATCGTTTATCAATGTACTATATACTGTATATCTTTGCAATTTTTTTCTAATGGACTGTCAACAACTGTCAACAACAACTTTTTACAATTTCTTGACAAAATGACTTTATCGTTATTGAAATTTGTAAATAGCGAATTTCTTAATAATTTCGGAACCATATGATTAACATTATCATTTTGTATAGTTTCTTTGATAATCGATTGTTAAATGACAATTTTCATTTAGAGACGTAAATTAAAAAAACATTAATTGTAAGTTGTAAAATTTTAGGATCATCTTTACAGTTTATTTTTTTTTTATATTTCTCAACTGTGTTGGAGATTATATATTAAAAAGGGGGTTCATTTACCCCCGTTATATTTTTATTGATGTTACTAATATTAGAACGACAAATGGGAAGATTCTTATAAAGATTAAAATCCCGAAATACCAATAATTTCTAATTTAAGTCATTAGTCACTAGTCAGGGTCAAAATAATTATTTAGTGTTTCCTAATTGCATGGTTCTTTGTAATTCTAAACTATAACCGTATAACTCAGTTACAATATATTTTCACTATTAAAGAATGCAAAAAAATCTCAGGAGATAATAACTTTAATGTATCTAATACAGTAATAAAAACGCAAAAAAAACAATATTAATATTATATTAAATAATCATAATCCTTACAATCACAGGTAACGTACAATCAAACCATAAAAATTTCAATGGATACATATATATATTATACTTGTACAGTATTTATAACGATAATATTTTTATAAATATTTAATATATATAGAATATTCTAACTTTTAAGGTACATGTTACATTTTGGTATGAATAATAAGTATACTATATAAAAAAAAAAAATTTCTGTGCATGAGAAATAAATATTTATTAAAAACACAACAACACACAATACAACACAATACAACAAATTTTATTCATTATTGGGGATGATTTACAGTTTACTAAACTAATTTTAATTTGGAGTAAATCAAACATATCATCGGATTATCACTGTTTTATCTTAACCCATAATTTATTAATTCATTGAATAATTCAATAATCCAAAATCCAAAAATAGAAATTCTGAATAAAAAAAAATATATAAAAATATATATTTATATATATATATATTATATATATATATATATAAAAAAAGTTATTTTTCAAAAAATTTGTTTTTCCGGTTTAAACTTTTTCATGTAAACAAGATACCGAATTCCGGATCCCCCAATATATAATATATATGTATATATAAAATAAAAACATAATTTATATTTATATATATTATAATATGATAAATTTTATTTATTTATATTTATATAAATATATATATAGAATTACATTATATTAAAAATCTTGGCATAACTTTACGTATTACTATTAAACTTTAACGTTTGCATTGTTTCGACAAAAAAAAAAAAAAAAGGTTTGAATAAGTTTGAATAAAAATTACAGAATTTAATTTGCTCTTAAAATAACGCCATTTTCCCAGAAAAGTTAATATATATATAGGAATTTCCGATCTTAGCCAGTTTCTGTGTACTTGTACAATCATGTAAATGAAATCTTGTTGATTAAAATATTTATATTACATTATATGATTATACATTGATTATGTTATTCGTCTGTGCATTTTATTTATTTATCTATTTTTTTTTTTTTTTTT